CACCAAAATAATGGACAAAATGATGTAACTAGGAATTGATTTGCCTGCTCTAATACCTTTCTTTAAAACACTGTAATAAAACAGGAAATGTTTTTTTAATCATATATTTTGAGTCAGGAGACTAGAGTTAAAATGAATCCTAGAGATGGAGGATAGTAATCTCCAATTGTGAAGCCAGTCATTACAGGAATCCATGTAGTAATAAACTTATTGTTTCCATCTTCAAAGTACCGCATCCTGTTTAAAGCTTCTAGTTGCAAGCATGTCATTTTGAAAGTAAATTAGACTAAACATCATTTTGATGTCCACAGTTCAATAAAGTAGATAAAACGCACATTCTATGAAAGATTGTCAAATAAATATTATGCTTATTCATCTCTCTGTTTGCTTTAAAATATAGTTTAATTTAATAGAAATAAATAGTAATTAAGCCACATAATACAGATATTGTCAAGCATAAACAATCCAGACATAGATAAGGAGAGGCTCTATTCAGAAGGATAATTGTAAGAGCTGGGAGAGGGATTATTGCAGTAGGAAGAATGCTCTAGCTATGAGATTTGTGTTTTCAAAGTCAGGTAAAAATCTTTTCTTTACCTGACCCTCACTGGAGCACTGCATATGCTTACTTTATCTCAACCCTAAGTGGTATGAATTGTTATCCATTTTTAGGTGTCAAAATTGAGACACAGAGAAGCCAAATATGTCACTGAGATTTTGGTTTATAGCGGATAGTGAGCAAAGTGAGGAAGAACTAGGTGTAGGGAAGTGGTATGAAAGAGCGGCATGATGGCATGATCGTACAGTTGATTAGGGAATGCTTTTCGCTAACATAAGTCAGTGGTCCAGGAGGCCTCTTAAGGAGAGGTTGTATGCTGGCTCAGGCTGTGTGCATGTGTGAAAGTTCAGAGACCTGAAGGAAAGAGAGAAGCTTTAGTTAAATTTGGTGAAGCCAAACTGATAGGTATTTTATCCAGATTAGTCAGAGGATACAAATAGTTCATCTAATCATTTATGGGATAAAGATTGGGAATTTGGAGGGTCTGTGTCTGGCCTTGTCTAAGTAAACAAGAGGGGCATCTGTGAGTTTTATCTAAGCCATACAGGAAAGGCAGTAAGCCTCCAGAAGTAAAAGGGTGGGAAGACATCTTTAACCATCATTGTTTTTCAGTATTGGAGGACTCTGGTAAAGTTCAACATGGGCAATATAGAAAAATAGGGTCTAGCTAAGTCACATCCAATAATAGGTATCATTTAGTGATTGCCTGGCCCTCAGTTGAGCACTGCACGTGATCACTTTATCTCAACCCTATGTGGTATGAATTATTATCCAGTCTTAGGTGTTGAAATTGAGACTTGGAAAGGCCAAATATGTCACCAAAATTTAGTGCTTAATCTAGAATTCAAACTTGAATGTCCCTAGTAAAAAAAAAAAAAAAATCAAACTCATAGTCATTTACACTATGACATCAAACTGAAGTAGAAGGTGCAATAGTTTATCATTAACATTTTTAATTATTAAAAGCTAATGAATTTTTTATGGTTCTTTTATTTTTCTCTTGCATTTTCATAGATGATTTCCATTCAGACAGTTTAACAATTAACCATGAAATCTAAAAATCAGAAATGATCAGTGCCTTGAGTTATACAATGAGACCCCATATTGCTTAACAGTTCTAACAATGAGAATCTATTGAATTAAAAATTAAGAGAAATATAAAATATTCTTCAAAGCTACTGAGTTATGCTTAGGATACTGCTCTTTGTAAAGGAAGTAGAGTGCAAAATGAGTCATGTTTTATTCAAGGATTTAAAGTCCAGTAGGAAAGCTATGACAATACCTAATATATAAATAATTATAATAAAAAACGACATTGTCAAAAGAGAGGTATAAATAAGAAAGGAAGGTAAATAAAGATTAATTTACATTTGGTCAGGAGTAGTTTTAAGAAATTGAAAAATCATATATGAAAACTATGAAACTATTAGTAGTTTTATTAATGTGGAATAGATGATTGCTAAGTCAGCTTAACTAGATTTAGTAATTCTGTGAATGCATGATATATATCAAATATAGTTCAGTCTTTCAGAGAAAAAAGTCATCTTTCAAAATGTGAAAATGTTTTCCTATTATTCCCAAATTTCAGTCGTTTCAGTGAGAAGTTTTAGTAGGTTGTGGAATACATACTCAAGAAAAATGCACTCAACTTTTAATATTACTCTTGGATTTAACATTGAGACAGAGAAAAATACTCTATACAATTTCAAACAGATACGTATTTTGTGTTCTGAAATATGGAGATTGAATGAGAGACAGGAATGAACAGGACCCTAAGGCCGAAATCTTTACAAAAGCATAACTGGAGGAATTCACCTCCCAAGTGAACTTCTCTGATTCTCTTGCTTTTAAACATTATGGCAGGCTCTGTTCTTTTTCTTTGGACCATGCTGCGAGATCATGCTGAGAAGTTCTCTCTGCAGTCTGCTAATGGACATTTACAGTGAAAATTAAAATTATTCAATTCATATATGAATGAGCATATTATATCCAGAACCTACAGATTGTATTTTTGTCAATGTATGATTTTAAACTGTTTGAATTTAAAAAGCAATGGAAATTAAAATGTGACAAGAACTTTAAGCTAAATTGTTTTAAAGGAGAGTAATCTGTGATATTAGGACATCTAGAGTTGAACCATAGAGTTTAGAATTGCAAGAGGACTTAAAGGTCATGGAATCCAACCTCCCACACAGTGCAGGAATTCCCTTGTAAGAAATTCTTAGTAACTAGTCAGCTAAGCTCTGTTTGAGTATCCTTAGTGTTGGGAATCTCACTACAGGGGCAGACATGCCTCTTTTGAATAGCTCTAATTGTTAAGAATTTTCTTAACTGAGAAATACCTACCTAGCAAAAGAGGATTACTTCATTTGCATCAGTGCTTTGAAAGTTTAAAACCAAAGAAATGGAAAATATTAAATAATTTGTAAATTGAATACCAGCTCTAAGGGCCAGAATAAGCCTCAATCATTATTTGGTAACTTTTAATACTGTTTCCCTCATGACTCATAATTTCATAAGTTTTTGCTATTTTATTTTGTTTACTAATACAGGGGGAAATATGTGTTTCAATGGAAGAGCATGCATTCTCACATATAGCACAGGCTTGTGGATTATTAGATTCTAGTCTTTCTTTGCCTTTCAGCTATTCTATAACTCTCTAAATTTTGTCTAATTTCACGAAATTTCCAATGACTTCTCTCCTAACTGTGGGTAAGCTAGATTTGCCTCCATTTGAAATTCAATTCCCTTACTCCCAGAAATTTGTGCTTTTTAATTTTCCTTTGAACTCTAGTTATAACATCTATCTGATTTTCTTATCGAATGAATAAAAATAATATTTCTAATACATGCTCATTTTCATTTTTATATCTGTATTAGTCATTGTTTTACCTTTTCTGAAAATTATCTTTTAATATTTGTGGAGGTATTCCCACCAAGATGCCCAATGATTTGCTTACTAGAGTCAGATATACTTTCTCATCAGAGAAGGGCACCTACTGAGCAGTTTAAACCTAGGCTTCTACCTAGGATTTCTGACTAAATAATTTTGTTGCCTGTCTTTCTTATTTTTATTTTCTACTCTACTAATTTTGTGTTTTGCTTTTGATTTGTTTTCAGCTAGTAAGTTATTTCTGATTGCTGGCAGGAAAGGTTGGGAATTTAGTTTTATGGTCTTACCATTTGGTGAAGTTATTGCACATCACTGGCAAGAGTAGTTGAAAATTTGGCTTCAATGTCTTATCATTTGATGAGTTCTGTAGATGCAGTAATGTTTTAAAGAGTTATTTTCTCTGTTGGGTGTAAGATGACAGAGAATCTTGGTTGGTAGGGTTTTCTATTTATCTTATTTGTCTAGTTTGAGCTGAAGTCAGTGATGAATTTCATGCCCACCAGAAAGCAGATATCTAGACTAATGAGTTTTTATTTCTGTGTTCATGCTGAAATTGTAGACTGGAATTTTAAAATTTTAAAATTAAAGATAACTGTTTTAAAGATGCTCAGTGAGCTAAGAGAGAAAACAGACAATTAAACAAAATCAGGAAAAAATGAAAAAAATGAAAATATCACTGAAGACGTAGAAACTATAAAAAAAGATCAAAAATTTTGGACTTGAAGGATATAATAGCTGAATTGAAAAAAGTCACTGGAGGGGTTTACCAGCAGGCTTGACTAAGTGGAAGAAAGAGTCAATGAACTTCAAGACTTGTTATTCAAAATTATCAGGTCAGAGGGTCAAAAAGTAAAAAGATTGAACATATACAAAGAGAGACTAAGGGACTTATGGGACATCAGGTGGGCCAATATATGCATTATGGATGTGCCAGAAGGAGAAGAGAGAGATGGAGAGACAGAGAGCTCAATTAAGAAAAAATGGCTAAAACATCCCAAAATGGAGGAAAGAAATACAAATATAAATTCAAGAAATTCAGTGAACTCTAGGAGAAACCCCAAAAGATCCACACAGAGACACACTATAATTATATTTTAGAAAGTCAGGTACAAAGAGAGAATCTTAAAAATTAATATATATTTATATATCTTGAAAGAAGTCATACTATACCTTTAAAAAATCAAAAGAAAAATGATTCATCGTGTACAAGGTAGCTTTGACAAGTTATCAGTGGATTTCTTAGCAGAAACCTTGGCCGGGCGCGGTGGCTCACGCCTGTAATCCCAGCACTTTGGGAGGCCGAGGTGCGCGGGTCACGAAGTCAGGAGATCTAGACCATCCTGGTTAACACGGTGAAACTCCGTCTCTGCAAAACAAACAAACAAACAAACAAAAACAAAAAACAACAACAACAAAAAAACAAAAAACAAAAAATTAGCCGGGCATGGTGGTGGGAACCTGTAGTTCCAGCTGCTCGGGAGGCTGAGGCAGGAGAATGTCATGAACCCCTGAGGCAGAGCTTGCAGTGAGCCAAGACTGCGCCACTGCACTCCAGCCTGGGCGACAGAGTGAGACTGCATCTCAAAAGAAAATAAAAAGGAAAAAAAAGAAAAAAAAGCCCTTTTTCCGGCTGGAACCATGGAGGGTGTAGAAGAGAAGAAGAAGGAGGTTCCTGCTGTACCAGAAACCGTTAAGAAAAAGCGAAGGAATTTCGCAGAGCTGAAGATCAAGCGCCTGAGAAAGAAGTTTGCCCAAAAGATGCTTCGAAAGGCAAGGAGGAAGCTTATCCATGAAAAAGCGAAGCACTATCACAAGGAATATAGGCAGATGTACAGAACTGAAATTCGAATGACAAGGATGGCAAGAAAAGCTGGCAACTTCTAGGTACCTGCTGAACCCAAATTGGCGTTTGTCATCAGGATTAGAGGTATCAATGGCGTGAGCCCAAAGGTCTGAAAGGTGTTGCAGCTTCTTCGCTTTCGTCAAATCTTCATTGGAACCTTTGTGAAACTCAACAAGGCTTCGATTAACATGCTGAGGATTGTAGAGCCATATATTGCATGGGGGTACCCCAATCTGAAGTCAGTAAATGAGCTAATCTATAAGCGTCATTATGGCAAAATCAATAAGAAGCGAATTGGTTTGACAGATAACGCTTTGATTGCTTGATCTCTTGGCATCATCTGCAGGGAGGATCTGATTCATGAGATCTATACTGTTGCAAAAACGCTTCAAGGAGGCAAATAACTTCCTGTGGCCCTTCAAATTATCTTCTCCACGAGGTGGAATGAAGAAAAAGACCACCCATTTTGTAGAAGGTGGAGATGCTGGCAACAGGGAGGACCAGATCAACAGGCTTATTAGAAGAATGAACTAAGGTGTCTACCTTGATTATTTTTCTAAGCTGGTCAGTTAATAAATAGTACGTGCTCTCAAATTGGGGGGAGGGGGAAGAAACCTTGCAGACCAGAAGGGAGTGGGATGATATATTCAACATACTGAACAAAAAAGAACAGTCTAACGAGAATACTATATCTGGAAAAACTGTCCTTCAAAAATGAAGGAGAGGCAGGCATGGTGGCTAACGCCTTTAATCCCAGCACTTCGGGAGGCTGAGGTGAGCAGATCACTTGAGGTCAGGAGTTTGAGACCAACCTGACCAACATGGTGAAACCGCATCTCTACTAAAAATACAAAAATTAGCTGGGTGTGGTGGTGCATGCCTGTAATCCCAGCTACTAGGGAGGTTGAGGCTGGAGAATTGCTTTAACCTGGGAGGTGGAGGTTGCGGTGAGCCAAGATTGTGCTATTGCACTCCAGCCTGGGTGACAAGAGCAAAACTCCGTCCCAACGTCCCCCAAAAAGGAGAAATTAAGACTTTCCCAGGTAAACAAAAGCTGCACGAATTCATCACCAGTAGACCTGCCCTACATGAAATGCTAAAGAATATCATGTAAGTTGAAAGGATGCTAGACAACAACATGAAACCATATAAAAATATTGAAATTTTTGATAAAAGTGAATATATAGACGAATATAGAATCATGCAGTGTTGTAATGTTAATATGTAAATCACTTTTAATTCTAGTATATAATTTAAAATACAAAACCATTTTAAAAACCTATAGATCCGTAATAATAGATACATGATATAAAAAGATGTCATTTGCAACATCAGTAACATAAAATGTGTGTATGGGAGAGATGTAAAGGAGTAGAGATCTTTTATGTGATTGAAGTTATCAGTTTAAAATAGACTCGTATAACTTTAATCCCCATAATAACCACAAATAAAATACCTATAGAAAATAATCTTATGAATCCTATTACAACATGTGCCAGTTTCCTCAGTGAATAAGAAGAAATAAAATTTTTGGCATGTATTCATATCTTTTAATAAAACCCTATGCAAACCTCTCTTTCTTTTTGTATATATGAAGTAGTATTAGATAAATAGATATTTATAATAAAAATACTGGCTTTTGTCAATCTTGTTAAAGTTGAATATTGATAATTTAGTGTGATCTAATATAGCTCTATCCAATACAAATTTTGGTGATGTTGAAACTTTTCTGTATCTATATTGTCCTATAGGGTAATCACTAGCTATGTGGAGCTATAAAGCATTTGAAATATGGCCATTGCTACTGAGAAATATAATTGATTTAATTTAACTTAAATTTAAATAATCACATGTGGACACATATTGCACAGATCTATGGAGTGAGGCTTGTAAATATTGCCAGTGGCAAGGAAGTAAGAAACCTAACTATAAATAATTTTTGCTATGTTTCTCTAGTAGAAACTTTCAAATCAACTTATATTCTTTTTGCCTGCTTATACATGAGTTAAGTAAATAAAAATGAAGGTTTTTAGAAAAAATCCTTTAAAAATAATGACTTTGTGTATTTTAGCATACAAAATTTATTTTAAAATCTTATACCAACACTTGTAATCATATAAAATAAAATGTAACAGACATCTTTCATTATTTGTAACTAATGTGTGTATTTAATTCAATTTAAACTGATACCATTCCTTGAAAACTAAATGCTTTCCAAATGATAATTCTTAGAATTTTTACATATCTTAGAAGTGTTTTTTTGTTCTTTGTTTTTTGTTTGTTTGTTTATAAAATAAAGATATGTTACACTTTTCTGCTAGTGATCTAAATGATACGAGATATGTAATCTTGGGAGAAACTAGATTTGGAATTTTGGTGGTAAACTAGTAATATGAACATGTAGGTAATTAAATGACAGTCAGAAATTGTTATCTAGAAGTAGATGTATTGGTCATCTCAGAAAATAACCATACACAGAATACAGAGATATATAAAAATGCCTGGGATCAACTAAATTTTTTTTTTTTTTTTTTTTGGAGACAGAGTCTCGCCCTGTCGCCCAGGTTGGAGTGCAGTGGCACAATCTTGGCTCACTGCAAGCTCCGCCTCTCAGGTTCACACCATTCTCCTGCCTCAGCCTCCCGAGTAGCTGGGACTACAGGTGCCCGCCACCACGTCCGGCTAATTTATTTTTGTATTTTTAGTAGAGAAGGGGTTTCACCGTGTTAGCCAGGATGGTCTCTATCTCCTGACCTCGTGATCCGCCCGCCTCAGCCTCCCAAAGTGCTGGGATTACAGGCATGAGCCACCATGCCCAGCTAACTAAAATTTTTTATGAAGTTATTTTTGATTATCCTACAAATAGGAATTTGATGAATACTAAGGTATAGAACTTTGGAAACTTTATACTTCGAAAGGTGTTGAATTACGACTTCTGGGAAATTATACCAAAATAGCCTGCTGTTGAAGTGAAGCAAAGTTTATTGCTTATTGTGATAATGGGGACTATTAGCCTTGACAGAATCTCATTCTAGAGAAGGAAGGACGTAGACTGTCTGTCATCTTCCTCTCTCTCACAAACAGTGCCAGGAATAATATCACAGAATCCCAGAGTATCTATATTGGAAAATATATTTGAGATTATTTTGGCCAATCTCCTTTTATAAACAAGCTTTTGAATTCTGAGATTGATTACTAAATTAACATGCATTGTTTCATCTAGTTTTTTTGTGACTGATTAGAGAACATACCTTATTATTTTATCATTCTTGAACTTAAAGGCAGAGAAAGGATGCAAAATAAAATATTTATAGATTATTTGGCAAAGTATAAGTATCTCACATCTGTAAAATTTTAATGAAATTCTACAAAGTTTTTGTGTAACGCTTGCCTAATGTGATTTATCTGTCAATTGATATATAGATTCCATTAAAAATTCATTTTTAAAAAGGTGAAATTATGACTCATAAATGTAAAATAAAACGATTAAAAATTTTACTTAGCTCAACAGTTAATGAGGAAACCAGTAAGATGTTACAACTGGTAAAAAGAGAATTTAAAAAAATACAAAACACACAGATACAGTCAATTAGGAATTGTAAAATGAATGTACAAATAGATGCAAAAAAAAAAAAAAATGCTTAGTATCCACAAGACAGTAATCAGTTGCATCTCCAGGAGGCACAATTAATTTATATATCTATGGACAATAATCATTATAATTATTATAATCAGTTTTCTACAATTTACAGAGAGGTAAAATAACTCAAGACAGTGAAAGGCGGACATATCAGAAAGTTGCTGTAGCGAGCACATCCAGTTAACTTTCTGCCAATTTTTTTCTTATAACCCCAATGAAGATGAGAAATGGTTTTCACTTTACCCTACTCCCCATCATGTCATATTAGTGTTGCCTATTTGACTCATTAGTGTTATTTGCTTGGCTCATGTAGCCATTTTAATATAAAAATGTGAAATTCCTACTCTCAAGTTGAACATAGAAGATAGTCAATATTCTAAATTTAAAAGGTTAAAAACTTACGTATATGTTTTTAATTTTAACATTATATGTTTAATAAAATAAGAAACTTGAACACCGTATTATTTATGGTCTCCATAATCTGTTGGATTTACTTAATTCATGGATTTTAATATACATGTTGTCTTTAGGTTACCCCTGAGGGCAATTGTTTTGGCATACCTAGCATAAAGTAGGTATCCACTATAAGATTTTTTCCGATTTCATGTAAAAAGGTTAAATGCTGGTTTGGTGGATCCTGCTTCAACATTGTGAAAATAGCATATGAACTACACGTCTTTTGGGAAAATATATGTGGATATATCTACAGATGTAGATATAATAGATATAAACCAGTAAGAAAGGAAATCTAACTTTTTAGTGATTTCCTTTTTACTTTAAAAAATTTGCTATTTAATTTTTTCAGTTAAATAGTAACAAAAATAGCTAACAAAATAGGCACCATACAAAATTTAATTTGCCCCTTTATAACTTTTTCAATTCCTTTATACTGCATAAACCACAGATTTTTTGTTTCTAGCCAAAGCCTATAGTTTCTGCCTAAAATACAGGAAATGATAGTTAGTTACAATACCAGAATGAAACCATTAAAAGTTTTGGATGCTGGTTTAAGTGATATACCACTTAAATAATGATCCATCTTTGTCTAAATTCTTTAAGAACTAGAATATATATAATTTTATTATATTATCTCCTTTTCACGTTGTTTCTTTTCCTTTGGATCTGATTTTTCAAAACTTACAGTCTAATAATGTATCACTCTGTAAAGTAACATTCCTTATAAGATTTTTAAAGTAGAAAGTCTTTTCACATGAAGATATATATGTACTATATACATATATACATATATGTATATATTTCTAAACCCTTATGTTCTTTGTGTAATTGATGGAGGATTATTCTGTAGAGAACAACCAAAGTTGCAAATCATGGAGAAAATCTCTCTGAAGTGCAAGTAAGATAAAGAATAAAATAATTGGAGCATTGTTGTTTTTTAAAAAAGCTTCTCTTGGAAAATGTCCTTTAGTATACATGGTTAGAAAAATAATGAATCCTAGTTTTAAATTTGTGTGATTTAACTTAGTTTACAAATGTTTATGTATCTCATTAATGGAAAAACGTTTTACCAATGAAGAATAACATTAATTGATTTGTAATAATTAGCATGTTTAATTTCAAGAATACTACCTGAAAACACTGAATTAAGTTTTAAATAATTTATTATGCATTTGACCACACAGAGCCTACACCAAGCTATTATGATGTGGTTATGTTTGTTTTAATACTTCAATCTCCACATAGATAGCACAAGATAACCTCGTATTCATAATATTCTAAGTGCATGCATGAAAAAAATCAAAACTATTATTTGAATAACAAAGCTCATGGGCCGAGGAAATGATGCCAAACTATCTTTTAGGAAATTACAGAGTAAAATAAGTTATTTACTTTAGGTGCAGTATTAATTATTGATTTAACATTCACATCTCTGATAAAGAGTTACCTACTAGTGTCAGAAATCACATATATCTCCGACGTTTTACTATGGCTTGAATGCCTCC